AAAGGAGGTGAAAGGAGACAATTTTAGAGAAGAAATTTTTTTGGTCGCTACCCGGATTCGAACCCGGGACCTTTGAATGAGAGGCCAACACCTTAACCTCTAGGCCACGAGAGCCCCCTTCATTTCTTTCTAGTGAGACGGCGAGGCAACCTCTATTCGATAAACGTCGGCTGGGGAAGGGTGTAAACATCAAGCCAACATTACTTTACAATATTACTTTACATCTTAATCTCTTCACTTCTGATCAATAACACTAATTTTTTTCAGACCGAAGGGCTAGAACCGAAATGGCCGCTGGATTGGAAAAGTAAAGTAAAAGTATCAATAACATTGAGTAGTAAGTGTTTTACTTTCAAAAATCAGACAAAGTAACTTTGGTGACGGTTAAGGACGGGGACCGGGAATATGTAACAGGAAATATTTGCGTCACCTCTCCCTTTCTAAATAGGTCGTTTTCATGGGAGCACCTCGTGGTTTTAGAGAAGAGCTTGCCTAAGCAGTGAACAGTTAGGTGTGCTGACAAAATGAGTTACTTCTCGGATTTAAACCTTATGGAAATTGATTCATCAATTTTATAGGTGAAGTTTGTACAATTTGTAAGTATGGAAGAATAAAAGACACAGTAGACTTTAAGAAAACGGCATCAGTTGAAAATCTGAAAATCTAACCCCCTTGTCGATTTTCAGACAATATCTCCATTCTTGAATTGCGAAAAGTAACTTATTTTGTCAGCGCGCCTTGTTTTGATACGCACACGCCTTATATTTCTTTATTTCATTTATAAAATAAAATTAATTACAATGATTGCGGTCAAACATTGTGTCTGGAACTATATTTTCTGGTGGATTAACAAAATGGATGGGTGTTAATTAGTGCCGCGTTTCCATGTTGCAACTTGATCATCCTATTTTCTGTTGACAATAAATTCGCTCAGTGAGACAGAATGAGAGCGAGATGTTGTTCAATCTGATGTTACTGGTTTCATTTGTATGCATGGTAAAGTTTGGGCATTTATTTGGGTTTTTTTCATAATTTCAGTTATAATTAAACTAAAAAAAGGAAGACACACTGTTTGACTGAGGTCTTTTGTGACTCACTATATCAATGAAGTCATGCAGGTTCTCAGTGGTGGAGATGGAGCAGCGCATGTGTTTCTGTCTGTGCCTGACCTTCTCGTACACCTCAGTCCACGTCGTCCGGGACTTGGGGTTGGTCGGCTTGGGTTCTTCCAAGTCATCACTGACGGAAGAGAAAACATGTACACCATATAGATAGATAGATAGATAGATAGATAGATAGATAGATAGATAGATAGATAGATAGACAAACAGACAGACACACAGACAGACAGACAGACAAATTCAATTGTATATTTCCACAGAAACATGTTAAGAGTCAAAGCTTCAAGTAGCTAGGAAACGATACAAACGTGATTCCCCTCACCCCTCCCCAACCCGCCTCCCCTCTCACTCACCCTTATTTTTCTCAGTCCTACTCTGCAACTTCTAAAAGAAAGAAGAGAATGTGTCCTGTACCAATAGTGTTTCAACGTATAGCACTACTTCATGTATAGATTGTTTATTCTACAACGCTGGGAGACGCGTTGTTTTTGGGGCACTTGAAGAATGAAGCAACCCGTTATTCAAGCAGATTTTTTCAAACATGTTTTCTCTATTTGAAATGTAAATGCAATAACAACATGCGTGCGATAAAATATGAAAATACGTGTTCCTGATTCGTGTGTGATGACTCAAAATGATCTATAACATTGCCTGTGATATACTCCTGCATGTGATATACTACTGGTCGGACATATGTGTAGGCTGCGTTTTGAAAGAGTTAAAACACCTAATTTAGACAAATAGTCGCTTTCATACAGGGACATACATAGTTAACATAGAACTAAGAAACGAGGTCAACTTACTTGCCTTCCGCTGTTCCTGAATCTGTGTCATTGACATTGGAGAAGCTATACAGGGCCGTTGTTGTCCCTGAAGATATTGGATTTGGGGTGACAATCCCGATGAGGACAGTCAGAAAAAGGAGGGTGGTTGCTGTTTTCATGGGTTTCATTTTCACCACCATGCTTCAAAAGTGTTGTGAGTCAGAAAAGGAGAGGATTGGTAGTGCTTTAGGAGAGAAGTCGTAGGTCATCTCATGTTTGAATCTGTGCGGCTTTTTCCGTGGAGCGTGCCTCTGTCATCTGTTAAAACACACGAAATATTTCGTTTAGTTTATATAGTTTTCATAAGAGTTTTACTGAACCTGCAACACAAATAGATCAAACAAGTGCAGAAGATAAAACTTGCAGTAGAGAGTAATACACAACAAATAAGCAAATAGATATTTGAGAGCAAAGAAGGAGTAAAACACTAGACATCAGGGCGCCTGCCAACCACCCACATAAACACGAGAAGCTAAAGACTAGGAAACCGAATAATACGCAAAAATTTTAAGATGCTATTTTAGAAAAAAACAAAACAAAGTATAATCTAAATCAGCTGCAGCTTACTAATGGTGTACCTTACAGTAGCAGGCATTTTATTTTTGTTATTTATTTGTGCCATTTTCACCAGTCGTACATTGCATGTGTAGAACTCGGGGCTCCAATCCTTTTGTCAGATAACACGCTTCAGGAAAACAACAAGGGCGCAGTGGTTGGAACTGGTGCAATACAATACGCGGGGGTCCTTTCGTGTGTGAGTAACTGACAGATCAGTGTTGATGACGTGGATATTTCAAAATAAAACAATATTTAAGTTTTTAAAATCTGACCAATTTTTTGTTCTAGTCATATTGCAGGACATAGTTCATTTTAAATTATCAGTTAGTACACATTTATTTACCTTTAAAGGGCGGTCATATATCAAAGAATGTTGATACGGTTCAATTGAGACTCCCACTTTAAAGTAAGCTGTTGCTAAAGTAAACAAAGAATGTGAAAGCAAGTGAGGGCCCATTCTTTGAGGAGAAGAAAATCTCATCCCAAAGTAGGCAAGGATTCATTGTAAGCAGGTATTACTAAAAACGGGATATCACAAACCCTTTGCCTTGGGAGTAAAAATAATCCCTCACGCAAATACTGAGCTTAGCAGTTTAAACTTCAGAAGTTCATGATTGCACAATACACATTACGATGCATACAGTCATATCTCATTCTGTCTTCCTGTCGCTCTTTCCAACAGATCAGCAAAGCCTTGTAGTATGAAGATTATAGAGCAAGCAGTATTCCTGACCCAAAAGAAGAGTGCCATTAATTTTTTTTTAAATTGAATTGTTCTTTGTCTTGGGGAGGGAAGGAATGGGAAGCTTCTGTTGAAGGTGGGACATCACCTTTTGGATCAGACTGTGGGCTCAATGTCCTTAGGGGAAAGCAGCAGCAAAAATTTGAGAGTAGAGGGGTGAAATTATAGGAAGAATCTTGAAGACAGAAATAGAGAATTCGAAAAGAAAAGCTAGACTTGAATACTGTTCTACTTTTTCATTCCCAGTGCCTCATCTATGACATTGATTTTAAATACATTAAAGATTTGCCGTTGTTGTTGTTGTTTTTTCTAATTCAGAAATTCCTTCTTTAAAAAAAAAAAAACAGTTCATTTATTCTTTACATTTCAGATTTTTCAATTTTTCAACACACTGCCAGTGCTAGCTAGTACTGATATTATTATTCACTCTTGATTTCACAGCTGACAGTAGACACAATGTAGTTCTTGGGAATTACGTGTGCATTTTGGGGAGGTCATTGGAACCAGAATTGTCTTTGGTGCGACGGCTGTGCTCTTTTCTTCACGTGCACAATACTGATTTCGACTACTAGAATTGGGAGGAATTACCTTGTTAAACTTATGTAAAAAACACCGACATTTTCCTGTGACGTATCTCACAAGACCTGGGTTGACCCTGACAAGCAGGGATGAAAAAAACCCCGCAGCCCAACTTATCTGAACTGAATTAACCAAAGAGTATACGGCTCTTTTCCTCCATGCAGACGGTCAATTTAGTTTAAAATGATCTCAAGGTTGTATTAGTGAAACTTCTTTCATGGTGGTTAATTCTTCCTAGATCAAAGAGTAAAACCTTAAAAACAGATCACCAAGAAGAGGGATAACAAGGGT